TTAAGTTCTTTGTTCTTTTACTGTAGAAAAGAAGCGATGATTTTAAATAAGTAGTACAGCAAAATGTGATAGTCACTTTTTGGAGCACATTTCTATTTATTTCAGCCATATATGAAATCAAACGTTGTCAAGCAATAGCCATGAACGCAATATCACAAAAATATACCTTTATGAGTTGATTATGAACCAAGCAAAATCTTCTTCGTTTATATACACTTTCAGTGAGAAATTTATTTTGCTGATTTTATGTATAAAAAGAAAACTGAAAACTGACAAATATGCACTGTTTCTATACAACAGTTTAGCACTTCATAAGATGAAAGCGTCACTTTTGGAAAGGTATTTGTGCAGACTTATTTTCTGTATTATTACAGTATCAAAGAACAATGTTTGCTCCATTTAATAAGCCTTCTTTATATCTTCGCTTGATGACATAATCATTCCATTCCATATCTATCAAATGACAAATGCATTCAATGAAAGCAGAATTTGCTTTTAATGGCTCAGTTGTTTTGCAGTCTTTGCAATGCATAAATTGTTGTTAAGAACGGACTCATTCGTATTAAATTGACAGAATAAATATGTAAATTTCAAATTAGCTAAACTTTGGAAAGATGTGCAGTCGATGTGATGATACTTGTGTGTGCAGTGAAGAATTAATAGTGTCTTAATATGATACAAAATTTAAGCCAGCAGAATTTCTGAATCCTACACTGTTACTAACGCAGTTGTAAAACCTAACGAAAGCAGATGGTCACAATATAATTCCTTTTTGAATACATTCACACATCAAGCGATCGTTCAAACACAAAATTTGACGAAAATTCAGTTTATGACTTCGATGCCAATTTGGCATAAGTTGCGAAGAGTGTACACTGATTTGATTAAGATTAGTTAATCAAGGAAATTAGCCTCAATCAGATCTAACATGTCGATTCCATCAACTCCTACCTTACCTTACTTGGGATACCAGCAAAACCATCAGTACCTGATTCTTTGTCTATACCTCGTGGTCCAGGAAGACCACGTGGGCATTGAAGCTTAGTGCATGTTTCACACTGCTTTCCTTCACTGATATCCATGTTCTGAACAGGCATTTGCATATTTGCTAAAATTTTCGTACAGTTACAAACTACTGAAATTTTGATATTTTTATACAAAAATGGTTTCAAAAAACTAAACTTACTTCTTGCTCTAAGACATTTATTGATTTAATTTCTTTACTCAACAATAGTTTCATACAAATTTACTAATTTGCTGTTCTGTTATTGTTTTGAAAAATAATCAATGTTCAGATGGAATAAATTTGTTAGGTGAATTCAAAATGAAACAGGGATTAAATATGCCACCAAACTCTTTTTATGATTTGATCATCTTTCCAAATATTCTCTTTCCACCCTTCCCTCCCCTTTCCCCCCTGTACCATAATTAGAAATTATTCAAAGTATTTTTTAAATACATTTCTACAATTTTTTTCCTTACGACAAATGCGCCAAGTTCATTTATGCTAAAGTTGTGTGAAAGGAAGTTTGAAGTCATTTTCTATTGTATACTGTAATTATCTAGTCAAAGTGAACTAAAGCAATAATTAAAATGAGTTGAATTAAGTCCAAAAAATTTTTTTATCAGAATTTTACTTCTGTGCTTGCTGCATTACAAAATTTTGAAATTTTTGGAAAAAAAATCCGAAAAAAGCAATTATTGCTGAACAATTATTTGCATTATAAGTTACTTACTTTTAATAAGAACTCAAATTCACTTGCTTCTTTTGAATGCCAAAGAATTGAAAGCATTTTCAAATATTCGGTATGAGAAATTAAGAGTTAACTATATCAGCAAGAACCGGGCCATATTTAGCTTTGGCAACGAAAACCTCAATTGATAATGTCAGTTAAGCGTTCAATGTACTTCATCTGAAACCTTTTTTTACATTCAGGAACGTGCACATCGAAAGAGTTGCAAGTATTTTTACGAAGCAAAACTTCAATAAGAAATAAGCTGTTGCTAATTTTCTGCATTTATTATGTGTGACATAATTTTAGCTTTTCCTTGCTTATTTTTCTTTTCAAAAAACTTTCCCTTGATCACTTAATTAAATTCATTTGAATTTTTCCAATAATTAATTCCTTAAAATTATCATTTTCTCCACATATTCCTTAGATAGGTCATAATGCTTAATTTCGGTAATTTGTTTCGCACATTTTTATTATTAATTTCAGTTATTTCAAACAGTATATCAATATGCGATTTTTTACCAGTTGACAACATTCTGTTCTCTACAGCAATATAAATAAGTAATAGCTTATAAGACAATTATGACTATGACTTAAATTGAAAATTACTATTTTGCATATGTATTATTTTGCAGCTGTTTGCATTTAAGTTTAATTCTAAGCAAATAAAATAAATTGCTCCCAAACGAAGCCATTATTGAATTTTAATTATAAATCATTAGTATATTACTTTGAATAATAAAAATAATGTGCTCATTTAAGATTTTAGACATTCCATTAACGCGATGATAAACATTTGATCAGTTATTCTTATTTTTTACTAATTTGGAAAAGTTAAAAATTATATTCATGTTTAGTTTTAAAAAGATATATTGAAGCAAAATTAAAACAAAAAAGGGTTACACATTTCACTTTTTCCTGCAAAATATTTGTTTGAAAAAATGACAAGTGAACTGCTTTTATAAACACGTAGTGAAAACATTTCATTTTTTCTGCGTTTTTTTTCGCACATATTCTATTTATTCCTCAGTAAATCTTTCATAGACAGGAAAAGTGCTCTTACTTATTAATCAAACATCATAGCTAAAATATGGACTGAATAGGTAAAACTGCATAGGGATTAATGAGCAATTAATACTTGGAGAATTGTATTAATTAATTCGACTCTGTTTTCAGCGATGATTGAAATGAATTTAGTAAGTATTTATAGTATTTTTGCAACGTAAGTTTCTTAGCACAAGTAGCAGAGCAGACAGGCGCTTGAAAGTATTTTTTAACTTCCATTTTGTGCTTATATCGAACTTGTCAGCTTGCTAAGTTAATAGTTTTTTTATCACAATGAATATATTTCTCTCTTTAATTACTTCTTAAAATATGTATTATGCACATTTGCTAACTAATCCCTCACTTCTGCACTCCTGAACTTTCAATAAATAAGTAAATGCAAAGTATTTATTTTCAAGACAGGAAATTTTTTTAATTATGATCAATTATATAAAGTATGATTAAATTGTATTAGTAGAAGACAGAGGTTGAATAAGTGAAGAAAAAGTGATTTTCTCAATAAGTTGAACTAAAACTCATTGAAGAATTAAAATGACATCTATAAGCTATCAAAACACTGCAGATAAAAACGATATAATAAGACGGCAGGTTGATACGCTAGAAAACGTAATCATTCGTGAGTATGAATTCGTGGAAAATAATTTACTCCCTGAAAGCAAACAGATTAATTGTAATATGTGATGGCAAAAATAAGCATGCTAGGTGGTAATGCAGTCTTGAAGTCAAATTAAACGATTAATAAAAATTTGTTCATCAAATTATTGTGCATAATTTAATCAGAAATGTTATTAACGTCAAATTTTGCGTAATGTTTTTTCCGCATATAAGTAAGTCTCACATTTTCAACAAGCAAACTTTTAATTAATGTTTTAAAACTTTCATTAAACAATGTTTCACTGGTAATTGTACATTTTGCTTCATTATCGCATTCATTATTCTGCGCTGCTTTCCTTTAATACTTTTTCAAAAAAAAGACTTTAGCTTTGCTTGTTGCTAATGAAAACAAAAAAATTACAGGTTTTAAAATCTGAAGAAAAATAAATTCAAGAATTTTCATCGTATTGAAAAAAAGAAAACAAAATGCACAATAACTACTCATCACAAAGCATTCGCGTGGAGCAAAAGTCAAATATCAGTACTGAAGTACTACTGAACGCTATGAAGAACTAACTTACTAACTAACTACTTTGAGAGATTTTTGTTTGCTTGAATAATTTGAAAGAGTGAATTTGTATTCAATTTGATTTGATTTTATATATTATCATTTTTTGTAAGTAATTTATTTTGTTTTTTCGCTTTCTTTTTGTTTTGTTTAATGACTCAAATACTATTTAATAACTATAAAATTGATTAAAAATATTAAAAAAAGAAAGAAAATTAGTAATAAAAGCAAATGCTCACTAAAATGTAATCGATGAAATTTGCATAATCAGCTAAATTGAAGTCAACAATGTGTCAGAGAATAATTATTGCTACGGAAAAAGCATATTGACAAGTTAATACTTACATATTTTAGCACAACTGATAGAAACATAGATATACTCAGCAAAAGTATGCCTGCACGGAATAATTGCTATCTATTCTCCACTTATGTTTTTAACTGTCAATTTTGTCCGCACTTTCTACTGGCATAAATTCATTGCTATATATTAATTACTTTTAGAATGCTCTTAATCTCATTACTTTTTATGCAAATATTGATTAAATGAGTACTGATTCTTAACTTTTCAGTATACCACTGAAATCTTTATAATCTATCGATCTGTTGATCTATCTATTTATCTACCTATAATATATGTTTGGACTGTTATAAGAAATCAAGTCAAAGTTGTAAATGTTTGCTTTTAGTTAAAATGAATCAAGAATCATGATGCATTTGATTTTTCATTTCCCTGTTACTTTTTATAATTCACACATTTGACTCATATATCTGCAATTTAAAAATTCATTTTTTCTCGTGCATTCTTTCTAATGGTAAGTTTGGACTAGGTTTTAGACTTCATACTTTCTAAATCTTGACATTAATTTTTAAATTCTCGGTTTAAGCTCTTTTTCAAACAATTCATTCAAAAATAAATTTTAAATTTGACATTTTTTAATGTATATTCAATTTTAAATCTTCTATACTTGCAAAGTTTTTTTGTATTTTTTCTATATCTGAAAGTTTTTCTTGCGTATTAGTCTCGTATTAGTCTCTCTTCATTTTTTCGTAAAATCAAAACTCTATGCCTGTCTTCAGAAAAAAGGCAAAAAAAAAGTCTTGTCTGCTCATAATTTTTTAAAGCATATTTCTAATTTAATTAGCAATTCTAGTTACCAATATATATTTTATCATACATTAAAATTGGCATCTCAAGCAAACATATTTTTTCATTAAAACTTGTCTCACCAAGATAAGCCAAGAACATTAATTGGACAAAAAATTTTCATACTTCATTTGAAAATTATGAGAGTTTTAAATCTCATCACGAAATCCATTAAGATATTTAAATGTGTATTCCTGATGAACTTCGCACAAGGAAAAAGATTCTGAAAGGAAGTTTCTTCTGATTGAATTATACTTCCATTTATCAATATTTGTCATAGTTTGCAAATTATTTCAAGTCTATAAAATTATTACTATTCCAATGAACTAATTAATTCTAATGATTGAAAAAGTTTAGAGAAATGTGCCCAAAATTCGGAATCTTTTCCTAAAGGTTGTAGTTTTCTTAGCAAACAAAAATAAAATTTGTGAAAAATATAAATTTTAGACAAATTCATATTCCAGTGCTGTTATAAACTTTGATTTGTTTTATTACTTTACATTTATGTTAACTTTCTTTCAGTATGGCTGAGATAAGTTAATTTTAATGAAATTAAAGTGGGAGAAATGAACTATTATATATAGAACTCCTCTATTTAATATTACTTTGCGTGTTTTATTTTCAAAAATATCATTTACGATTTCTTCGCATAAAATGAAAATCGTGCAAATTGCTATTATATTTATAGAATAATACCAATTTTTATATTTGTTTTGAATATAAAAGTAGCAACTTTTAAATGGTAAATATGGATTCAAGGAGTAAAGGAGTTCTACAAATGAGACAGAGATATTATGACTTCAGCTCTTGGAATAATTTTTAGCGTTTGCAGTATTTTACAGTGTTGCAATTATTAATTTTGAATCGATTTGGTGGGAAAATGAATTTAATAATTCATCGTGAAACTCAACAATATTACACTTGTTTTGGACGAATTCACGTTCAAGTAAACTTTTACTACAAATACGATACGCAAAATTTTGTTTTTTTATCATAATAAATATATAAAAAATTTTTCGTGTTAGATGGAAAATAATCTGTTATTATTTATTGCAGACTGCATTACTAACTATTATAATATTGACATTTGGGTGGAATATACTTCGATGGATTGATTTATTTTTACGTCACGATTTCGTGTTTGGTAATGAATTTTAAATAACTAGAACTATTAGAATCATTTATTAATACGAAAGCTAAATTACATTCAAGAGTTCTTTAACTTTTTGAAGGTTACACTTTTGTTCACTCGAATCATCATGTAATGAGGCAAATGTGTTTCTTAATTTTAATTATTTACAGGATGGATAGAAATTTTAACTGAAGTTTGTGACGTTTCCCTTGATATTACATTAATTATTGCTTACTGTTATAAATCATCATATTTATTGCTGCCATATCTTTTCTTGCAGGTCTCTTTCTATTAATCCATCTATATGTATTTCTTTCACCACTGCAAGTATTTTGCTATCATATGCTTAATTTTAGTAATGGCTTTAACATTTCTTGTTTTGAAAATTGATGTAATAAAATCTATAATCCCCCATGAATATATTTTGTTTCAGTTATTGGCGTTGGTGGTTTCAATGATTTCGTTTTGTATTTGTGCCTTGACAGTAATATGGCCTGAAAATCCATGGGTTTCTATTGTTTACACTGATGAATCAGCAAAGACTTCCAGTAAAATACAATTTCAATTATTCTTCCTGATTTAATATTCACTAATTACATTTTAAGTATTTCAGGGACTTTTTAAAAATTGTAGAATATTTCCAAATTTAAAAATAGATAAATAATCAGACTTATGAGTTGATACTAATAAGATTCTTCATGGTTTTTTTTAAAAGCTGAACTACTTCCAAATATGGATATTTTAAGAGCTAAAAAATCACAATAGTTCGAGGATTTCATCAAGCAAATTACACTTCTCGACATATCTCAAACGAATTTTTATATCAAGCCAAGTATCGGTACTACTGTGAATTTTCAAAACATTTCAGAAATTAGAGTGAAAGCTTTCATTTATGGCATAATTTCATTCGCCTTCTCCTTAGTGTTGATATGGGTCATTCGTATTTTACTTTCATGCTATGTTTATTTTTCTAATCAAAAAAATGCTGCAGCAAATATTGCTGTTGCCACTACTCAGGTGAATTTGATGAATATTTGAAGACATTTGTCTTTTAGACAAAACTCCTGAATGACTTACTTAATTACAGATTAGTGGGTCAAATGAAGGTGTATTAATATCGTCATCAACTGGATTATCTTGTACTAATAATGTTACAACTAATGCTCCAGTGAAATCCACTTTGGCAGATGCTGCCTTTCCTAATCCAAGTTTTTGCCTAGAAGACGATGATGATGAAGATCAACTCTGGCCTCAAACAGATATCCAAAACAGCTTGAACTTGAATGAGTCTAAGAATCAATCAGTGAGTTTACCGTTGCCAATAAAAAATTATGAAAAGTGAAATAAAAGTTTATTGATTTCTCGTTTAAAAAAAAGTTGATATGCACACTTGCTAATATCAAGGAAAGAGCAAAAATAAAAATGTTGCTCAGCATATCATTACTAATTCTCAAATGCTTGAATAAATTATGACAATCTTGAAAATTGAAAGACAGTTGAAAAAGCTAAGTTTAAGAAAAAATATCAATACAGCGACCTAGCAAGTAAATTTGTGACAACAAAAGTAGATTCTGACCACTAGAAAATATTATACTACTGACCTTAATAATTGATGATACCTCTTATTCTTAAAATGCTACTTCAGCTTCCTGATATTGATCACTCACAATATTTGTATGAAACCGTCCTACATGCATAGTGAAACTGTATTGAATAGGGTCTGCACAGTATCTGCCTACGAAATACCATGATAATAAATTTCTCTTCTGCTTCTGTACCTTACAGTACCGATCACTTACCACTCACTTATCGTACCGGTAGCTGTACCTCAAGATTTCATTTCAACACCTTTAATAACCGTTCCTTTACTTCTACAGTTGAAAACCCTGAAATTCATCATACCTGTCAAATTACCATTCCTTCGTCCAACGAATTGCTTTAGTTACCACGCATTTACTTAGTCAAAATTATGCTATCGCATCAAGTGCTCTTTTCTTTCATACTAATTCTTATGCTCCAAACTAGAATATCAAACAATTCCAACCTGCTTTAATCTATTCAATTGCTCGACAACTCCAACTTCATAATTTCTTTTTTCTATAGACCAACAAGTTTCCTTGATTAAAACCAAGAAAACATTTTCTATTCTTAGATGAAAACCTAATACTAATAATCAACGCAAATGCTGTGCGATTTTCCATATGTAGGAGTATGATAAACATGCGAAGAATGATGCCACTGTCATAAATATCAATTATTTCAAACTATTCTAACTGAAAAATAATGAGAAAAAACAAATAGTACGATAAATTACAAAAAATAAGATGAAATACATGACATTTATTTAGAGTTTTTCTGCTTGTAGGAAAGACGTAACCATTAAAAAAACATCAATGAATCAGTACAAGTATGAGTCAACATTCTAAAAATTAATCGCAACGACAGATCACGGTAACAAATTTCGTTCACCTTCCAACACTTTCCCTTTTATATCAGATTTTTCACATTACGGTAAGTACAAATATGATCTAGCAAAAACAGCAGTGAACTTCAAATTTCTTGAAGCATGAATGCAGCTATCGTTTAGAAGAAGCAAACGCAGCTATGACCAAACCAGCAACAACAGCGATTCCGCCACCCAAAAGTGCCATACCAATAATGCCATCTAAAGAAACAAATGCAAGAAAAGCTACTGCTTTTCTAAAATTCCCAAAATTATCAAATTAAAGTTTTTACAAATCTCAAAAGATCGAAAGTAAAATACCTCTCTTCATTCTTTTCTTTATTAAACTTTCCAAATCCATTGCTTGACGATTATTGGACTCTGCACTGAGTAAAACATCAATATACGCAAGAGCTCGGTCATACTCCTTAAACATAAGTACCATTAGAAGTGAACAAATGAGAAGTTTCTGAAACCATTACCTTCAAACGAGTATGAGCTATCGCAAGATAATATACATAGTCACGTTTTGATATATCTTCAACTTCTTTTCGTAACAAATCTGAAGCATTTGAAATATTGCAATAATTGTGTGATATATTAATGGAGTTAGTCAAACTTCAGACTTGTTTTCACAATGAACAATCTCGATGTTTGCAAAATTCATTAGGCCGATAAAAAACATTTAGTCGATGAATAACTGGGAACAGATAAAAATGTTTTTTATCCATTTCCAACCGCTCATCGATCAAGTCTTAGTCCTTTTATCACACAAATTTCGTCAATCAAATAATTTTGTTAACACAAACAATACTACGTTTATTCGCTTATAACAACTAGAATATGATAACAAGACATGCATGATATGTACTACTTTGCCTTCCCAAAGTAAACAAAGTGTAAGAGAAAGGTTTCAGTCCTCAATATTTACCAAGTTTAACCCAGGAAACATTTTATTAAAGAAGAGTGAAGAAAACCTTCCAATAATTTAATTCCTTTGCGAACATCGCTGTTGCTCGACTTAATCAAACCATGAGCATAAGAATATACTGCAACTATACTGGGGTCCCCACGTGCTACCTGATCACGATAGGTTTTTTCTAAACTCTGTAAGAAATGATGTTTTTGATGTTTAAGCCCACTTGAAATTTTCAAAACTTTTAACAAAATTATAGTGTTTTTAATGAATTACAATTAAAAAATTAAACAAATTCACTTTGCTGAGTTCATTACGTAAATCATTACCTTTGATAAAACAATATTATTTAATGCAAATAATGAACAGCCTTTTTGTTTTATAGAATGGATTAGATACACGTATATTTCATAAAGTGCAAATGCAGTAAAGTTCACACAATTAACTTGCACTGACAACGACTAGACAGACATGCGTAAATAAGAGCAGTTAAGATAAAAGTATGGATGAAACAAATGAATAAATTAATGACACAAAATTAAATTGAACATAAGAAAAAATGACTGATTTGCTTGATATTACAAATTTGAATTTGAGAATGGAATAATTCCTGAGAGGATATCAGGTAATCTTTGGTATAAAGGAAAAATATGAAAAGGAAAAGCCAACATACGATTAATAGGTCTGGATCGATTCGTTCATCAACAATCATAGTGGTATCCATTTCTGAAAAAAAAATACCACTTCACCCAGATTCCCGACCCAAAACCAAACTTACTAATATAACCCAAAGAGATATATCATCTTTAAAGACATCTACATCTACGTGCTGTGGTAATATTTTCGCTGTAATGTGGCCCATATTGTCCAGTATCGTTATGCAAATATAGTTATCTCATGTAGTTTGTTAAATAAGCATGTTATCCAAAATATTTGTAGCCATTTAATTTGACGTACGACTTATAGTTACACTGAATTACCACTGCAGTGATATGCTCAGTTATTGGAGAGTAGTGAAAGTAAAACTTTATTAATTGTAATACTCTGTCAATCCTTAATAGATATTGTCTTACACACTGACCTTTCAATAAATTAATTTATAATAGAAAAGATTGAACGAAAGTAAGCACTTTAAATAATTTACGTGAATATTTTTACTGCATCTAATGGTGAAGAAAGTTGATTCACTTACATTACGTTTAACTTTGAAAATTTTGAAGGTGTGCTTAGAGTACGCTTTCAATACTTTAATGTGGTATTTGTAAGAGTTTTGTACCCAATTTGAGTAATTATGTATAATGTTTCTATGTATAATACATTTTAAATATTTTAAGTGCTCGAAGAAATATTTTTAACAATAAAAGTGACTTTTTCTCCATTTTTACTTTTCGAAAGTCAAGTTTTAAATGGTTAAAGCTCGAGAATGGTTGTTATTATAAAAAATCATAAAGGATTTATTTAGGAATATGGTTATGTTTAAAAAATATTAATAATAATAATAACAATAATAATAATGATAATAATAATAATAGCTGTAAACACTTTATACACTTTCAATGAATTAACAGGATTATCTATCAAACTGTCAAAGATTACAAAACTTTTTCACTTCAGTGCCTTTCTTTTCTCTCAACTTGTTATTGCTTGTACTCTATTCAAAATTTTCAACTTTATAAGCTTTTTACACTGAAAAAATAATAATAAATGTGACTAAGAATAGCGGACGTATACAATGATAACAGTAATAAACTTATTTTTTGCGTACCTTACTTACATCTCACTAAAATTACAGCCATACAAAAGTAGATCCTTCAACAAGGGAATTGGCGTGTAACATATAAAATTTAGCAAGTAATAATTGATAATAGCCTGATTAATTAAAAAAATTTATTCATTACAAAGAAACTGATACTTCGATTCATTACTCGCTGTAGATAATTTCAAGCCAAAAATAACTGCCTCCATGTTATCCTCAACTCAAACATTTTTGAAAATCGTCAAAAACTTTTGAGCTGTTTTCGGCGTGGCATACGGAAGGAAAGTTTGCGGGAATTCAGAGGAAACTGAAAGTAGTTTTAGTTTTATCTAATAAGTCATAGAACATTACATATTATGTAGGTTAATTTATTTCTAGCCACGAACGGATCAAAAATACAAAGTATTAAAGCATTACTGTTTCAGCATTTTAGCTTAGGGATTGGTATAAATTTTGCTATCTGAATGAATGCTAACAAAATTCATTATTTAATTACTTAAGCCAATCATAGCATTTTAAAATTGAAGTATTTTTCTGTTTGCATTGAAGTATTTGCTCAAAAGTTATGAGTCTTTCTAATAATCAGCAATGTTATATTTTAAGATAGTAATCTTTTGATTTGGAATCAGTCAGACTTGAAATAATCAAGAATTTCAGATCTTAAATACGTGTGACCAAGATATTTCAAGTGATTTCAAAATTTCCGCAAATTTGTATTTCATTTTTCGGGATGATATATACTTCACATGTGATAACAATTCAAAGATTTATATCAGTTTTTATCTAGATATACTGTAACAAAAACGTAGAACTCGCTGACTGCAATTAATTGAAAGTTTCTTTGTAAAATATACTGTAACAAAAACGTAGAACGAAAACTTACCAATTTTAATAAGTCACGCTTAGACCTTACGTTTTGCGTACCACGATTATCAACTAAGTAATCATTTGGAGCCGTCTTTTCAAACTCAAATAGTGTTTGAAAAGGATCAATGGGTGCCAAGTTATGTCCATAAGTAATAGTTAGATTATCCGGATCTAAATTCTTTATTGAGTTCAGATACAGTTAACATTCTGCAGATAGATAATACAGTTTATCTTAACTTACGATAATATATATTTCCAGAAACTGGTAAACGATATGCTAAATTTTTCGATATTGGTACTGGAAGATCGAGTTCGCCATCTAGACCATTTCCAAATCCCCAGTCATATACAATCTATAAGGTATGCTACTTCATTGCAAGCTTATAACTATTTCAATGAATAGTAATAACTGTAACAATAATGAACTAAATATATCTTTAGCCACGTGATTACTGATACGGATATCAGTGATACTTCTCTTATCATATTTTTAATATAAATTACTGCTGGCTGATTACACATAACTAAAAGTTTCTTAGAATGATATCTCGATTATATTCCAGTATGAACTGCTAATCTTACTTTGAACTTACTTTGAATCGCTATCATTTCAAATCTTATGATTCTAACTTTGAGAGACTAATAGATTATAAATAGCATTAACTTCATCTTAACCTTCTAATTCATATTTGCGTCTACTTTTGTGAATGTTCTGTTTAAAAGAAGAACGATGTTGATAATAACTAATAACTCGGAGTTCAATGCAACTAATAAAAGTAAGCATAATAGTTGTTGAAGTTCTCATGATAAACATTAAAGTTCGATTAACTTACACCAAGTCCGAAATTCTGCGTGTAAGGATTGCACATCGGTGGGCGACATGACATTGGCACAAACGAACGTGGCAAATTTGCTACGGGGATGAGAGGTTGGTTATCTAAACAAAACATGTACAGGAGTACATGTCAATAATAATATTAGGTGGATTCATAAGGAATTAAATCCCACACCTCTCGGATGCGAACGGAATGATCTACCTCTGAGATATACTCTTGAGAGAGCACTATTGCTCAATGATTATAAAAACTGTGAAGTTGTTTCGCTAACAAAGATAATTAGGAAGTTTGATTTCAAGATTTATTGAAAATCTGTGATTGAGCAATTTTCGAATCATTTTTTGTTTGTCTTTAAGTTTGCTTTATTCATATTTCGTTCAAACGTTGAAGTTTATAGTGGTATGAATATTTTAAATAAAAAAACTATGAAATTTGGAGCAAAATAATGGTGCTGAAAATTGGCATCTAAAATACTGCATAATATATTTAAATTCACAGTTAAGTAAATAAAAAATTTATATACTTCAACATTTGATTACAAATGTGACCTCATATTGCTAATAATGGTATACAATTTTATTATTTACCATCTTTGATTATTAATACTTATAAATGCAACAAGCGATTAGTCTGATTAAATCATAAAATTCTGATTTTGACGACCTCTCAACTTTTCTTGATCTCAATTGAGATATGATATGAAACAGTAAAGGTGCTAACTTTGATTGATATGCATCGACTGATCAGTTAATAGTTGAAGGAAGTCATCTTTAGTAAGGCCCAACATGTTCACTGGTGAACTGTGATAGCCAATTAATGCGTTGTAGTCTTGAATACGGTAAAACGCGCGACCTGAGAAATCCCAGATGCCCCAAGTTGGTACTGGAACGTATATATCACCACCAGCATGCTTAAAAAAAGAACAAGCAAAAAAATGAAGGAATCACACTTGTTGTTTAAAATTTATTTTTATTATAAAACAAATATCAAATTTGTTTTTTTGAAAACAAACTCTTGACTGCGCAGGATCAACATCTAGACCGAGCTGAAACTGATTCGAGAATGGAAATATAGGCCAATAATTATCATAAGCATTTCTTCCAGGCATTGGTTCATGGAAACCTTAACATTTTTAACTCACTAATTTTATCACTACAAGAAAATATACTTATAATCACTATCAAAATATAAATTCTCAATAAATTTACCAAAAGCCATGCTATACTTGTTTTGAAAGCTACTACCATAATTAATTTTGGCAATAAAAAATTAGCTTGATATTAATGAATGAAAAGTTTCACTTGGTAAAAAGTAAACTGAATCAGATGCTTTTCTTTTTTCGTGTCCATGTTTTTCTTCACGTTTCAAACGTTTGTACCACGAAACGTAGTAATCAATCGGAGAAAAAGAATTCTTCTCATTAGCTTTTGCTTCAATCAAAATAACGCCAAGAAGAAAGTAAGCAGCAAAGATAATGCATCGCATATTTTAAGAAATTCTTTTTTTGACACAATCTATCAAAATAAATTATTTGAATATTGTGAATGGCTGTAAATAAAACCTTCAATTTTGAGTATCTAAACAAAATCTTTGCAACTTTGCTTTAATTACTTATTGTTTGAATTAGAGTTCTGTTATTTGCTTGCCAAAATTTGGTAGAAATAATATTAATAAATAGAATGAAACCATCTATTATTGAAAAAAAAAGCATAATTACTCTTACTTAGTAATTATTTAGTATTTAAATAAGTACTTGACTACAATTATTTGCAAAATTTTGTTCAACATTTAAAATCATTCTTAATTTTATTTTCAAAGTTTAAAATAATTTCATTTTTAAAGTGAAGTAATCACAATAACAGAAAGTATTCATATTGTAATTAATAAAAATTTGGCAGATTTGGAATTGTAACCAAATGTTAAAATCATTGTAGATTACCCGACTGAAATACCACTGAATGACATTAGTAATTTGCAAATAATTAAATAAGATGATATGGTGTCAAAATGATTATGTTTTAAATGTAGTGGAAACGAAAGGAAACCTATGACCTGATTTACAAATTCTAATATGCTCTGGATCAGCCACATCAGATATAGTTCAAACTAGTTAAAATGGCATAATGAATCAGCAAAAAATTTTTAAATTTGATAAAAATTCTTGAAAATGCTTTTTAAGTTTATCAAAATAAAAATTTCAGACTTTTAGTCTTGAAAATTACAGTAAATTGACTGAAGAACAATTTTAACTATCAAATTTTATTTTTACTTCTGTAAACAATGACATTTTTGATTTCATTTTGATCACGCTGAAGTTTTATAAAATTAGCGATATCTACAAAAAAATAATATGTCTTTTTATATGGTATTTCTTCAAGTCGGAATTTTTCCCATTTGGATTTTGCTTGATTGGCGCCAATCTGCAATCAATTTAAACAAATATAATAAAAGTAATGAGCTTTATAATATATAATTTAGAATTTCTCAAATTAATAACTTCTCGTTTGGTTCGATCCGGGACATCTTCAGGAAAATCGCCGATGTATTTTTGGTATGCAAACAAGCTCAAGTGAGGGTCAATATTATGTATATTATGTCCATATGTGATAGTAAGATTGTCTGGATCTAAAATTCTTGCATTCAAAGAATTTTAAGGCATTTAATGCATTATTAATTATTTACACAGTTCAAATTTACATCGTATAATAATATTTTCTGCAAACTTAAAATTCGATTTTAACTCAGTAATTTGAAATTTTATATATTTTTAATTCATTACTACTGAAAAAGTCTTTACTTCAAAAAACTGAAGAAAAGTAACGCAAAAAATTATTACGAATATAAAAATTTCCCGAAAGTGGAAAATTGTATGCCAAATATTTGGATATAGGAATTGGAATATCGATATCACTCTCGACTCCATTCCAACCTCCGATATCCTGTTCGTACTAAAAGTTAAAATGTAACTCATAAAAGTCCATCTGCAATGAAAATTTTGTCTTTAATTTAAATGAATAGACGAATACTGGAGCTAACAAGATGAAAAAGTCTGATTTTTCACTGAGGAAAGTATAAGAATTATATAATAATAAACTTACTCCAAAAGCAAAGTTTTGAGTGAATGGATTACATAGTGGAGCTTTGCAAGACATTGGAACGAAGGTTTTTGGTACTGTGGCGATTGGGATGAGCGGTTGATTAGCTTCAAATTACCATTTTACAAGCATAACTTTTGATGTAAATAAAAGTATTCAACCAAAATTCATAATGTACCTCGATTACTTCGATTTGCAAGCATTTTTTACACATATTACATATATTACCTCGATTTACAAGCAAGAAAGGATCCGTCATTAAGTCATCCAAATCATTTTTTTTCAAACCAAGCATATTGACAGGAGCTAAATGATAACCAAATTTGTAAGTTGTATCTTGAATCCGATTGTAAAATCTACCATTAATATCCATCATGCCCCAGGATGGTACCGGAACATTGAGATCACCACCAAAATGCTTAACAACATCAAGCAACTAATGAAAAGATTTGAAAATATACAAAGAAAACAAAAATGGTTACAATTAGGTATTGAGATAAAACTGACAGTCTTTTAAAGTTTTAGACAAAATAAATGAAAGTTAGTCAGAAAAGGCATTTTCTTCAGAAAGCATGAAAACTATACTCTTGTAGTACTTGGATCTAGATCAACACCTCCTGAATACTGATTTGAAAATGGAAATAATGGCCAGAAGTTAGTAATATGAGATCTTCCAGGTAATGGTTCAAATGGTCCTTCAATAATATTTTTGAATTTTAACAAGCAATAAAAACAAACAAAGAATATTATTTTTATGCAAAATGACGTTATTTAGAGTATAAAACTTTTTTAAATTCAGATATAAAATATTCAACAAGACTTTCTCAAAAGAGAATCAGTTTTGTTTTCTATAAAATCATTTACAAATATTTTTAAAGTGCTTCATATGTTTCATCTATTTTAATTGTTATCAATAAAAAGCTAAAAATTAATTGCTTAAACGCAAATTTCGAATGAGATCGAAAATACCGGGAATCTTATACGGAACTGGCTTCACGCCTTTTTTATCTGAAGCAACTTCATACTTCGCTTGTTCCTTTAGTCGCTTGTACAAAAATTGATATAATTGAGATAAAATTTTATCTTTATTCTCTCGACTGCTTAATTCATTACCTAATCCAATTTCAATACATAATAGAAAACTGAGAGGCACAAGCATTCTGAAATATGCTTTTAGACAAGTTCTTCAAAGTATAACAATTTCTACCAATTAAATTAAAAAAAGTTTCCAAAGACAAAATCTTCTTTTTTTGTTGTAAAGTGTGCAGAAATTATTAGTAATTTTATAATTTTCATAAAAGTTTTTAAAATTTTATTTACTTATAGATTTGGTATTTATAGAATAGACTGTTGAAATGCGAAGTAATAATTGAAAAGTACTTGTAACAAATTTTAATTTTCATCCTGCACAACTGAGAATGACGACCAAAATAAATGCATGTAATTCAAGTTGACCCAGAAAATACTTCAATTATCACAAATACTCCTAAATCTTTCTGATAATTTTTAATAAGTTTAGTGTTACATAAAGGTATCTTAAATTGCATTAATTAGCAGTAAAGTGCTTATCATGAAACTAAAGTATAAAACTCAATAAACGAGTGCTTTTAAAATATGCCATAAGGTATCAATTTATAATTTTCGAACATTGTGGTATAGCATATGTGTCCAAGAAAAATGATAACAGTAGTGATAAGAATATGGATAAAATATTTATGGAAATAAAAGTGTATTAATAAATTATTTCATGAAATATGGCAATTTTATTTTGTTTTATTATCATTTATCATAGATCAAATTATGTAAAATTTTGATTCTTATTTATTTTATTGGGAATATTTTTCAAGTGTTGCGCACTTACTTTTGCTAGCCTTCACACATCAGTACAATTGTTTGACCTACAGAAAAGACACCAGAAAATGTTCAGAATAAAAATGACTGTTTTCAGAAGTTTCTTGCCCTTCGAAAAAAAGAAAAAAAACAGTTATTTGCAAAACTAATAGCAAAATATTTACTTGCACAAAGTAATATTTAGATTTTTGAAAAGAAATCTTTAAAAATATCATTTCCGACTGTAAAAAGTGAGTGAAATTAATAAAAAAAACTAAAAGTATAGAAAATAAATACAAAAATTATCGAAGGAGAAATTTTGTTTGCAGCAGAATTTAGTGACTTCGCTAATTCTTGTTAAAATAATCGCTTTGAAAAAAATTGTTTAAAGCTGATTTCCTTTATGAATAATATAATTATTAAATATAAAACAGTAAAATAACAATTGTATAATTTGTATATTATCAAAAAAACAATTTTTGAGTCACTTATTTGTAAACAATGCTTTGAAGATCAGCCATGAAGAAAACAAATAGCAATAATATATTAGAATTCTGAATTATTTCAATCAGAAAAGCTCTGGAACTGTCAACTTTGTAATATCTATTTTGTGAGTATCAATTACTAATATGAAAATTAAAATTAGCAAATTGAAGAAACCAAAAAAACAAAGCGATTTAGACTTTACTTGTTTTTTCTGAAAATTTAAAACCATTCTTATTCATTTACATTTTCAGTTTGTTTTTTTTATTAGGTATATGCGGTTGTACGCAGTCGCTCACGCTTCACATAGTGAACAGTTTGCGCAAACTTAAGTTTCACATCTTTCAATAAATTTGCTCAAAATTCAAAAAATTTAAAGGAGGTAAAGAAAATGATATTGTAATTATCAGATAAGAATTATTTATTTTGTTTCAAAATTTTCGAATTCTAATTGCTGAAATTTAAGCATTGTTATGTTTTATTATTAATAAAAAAGGGAAAAAGTAGTTTGTTCCTCGATATTAGTTTGCACGAAAGCCATAAACTTAATTAGGCAAAATTTTGGCTTCATTTTTCTTTCTTCTAGAAGTGTTATTTCAAGTCATTAAAAGTAGTGCTCTTTTAAATAAGGAACGACTTCAATACTTTCGACAAAAGTTTAATTGTGCGCTCAAGTGATTAAGCACAGCAAATAAAAACATGGAAGAAAATTCAACAAAATTTAATCTTGATAGGTTAGTTTTCTGACTTCCTGAAATTACCATTTCTGATATTTTTCATTGCTTCAATTTGAATATATCTCATCAAAGCTTTTATTATTAATAAATCATGTTTAACAATTTTGGAAATTGATTTTACTACTTTGGAATCTTAAAAAACATTGAAGCAACCTTTAGGTGAATGAACCAAAAGTTGCTTAAATGCTTTTTAAAACTAAAATTAACCATAGTGTTTGTGAAAATCATTGCAGAAGAAGCAAAATTTATCAAAAGTTTAATAAATTTTTATGAAATTTACTAGCTGCAGCAATTACTTTATTTAATATAATGTTAGTGACCAAATTTTTGAGTTTTACAAGCCTCAATTTTAATTAGTTAATGAGAGGACATAAAATTAAATTAGCACTCTGGGAGTAAACAAAACGGAAGTATTATTATACGAGGAATCCGTAGATGAATTGGATGAATTATTCGTTGTTATGGTTCCTACACTTGCGACTATAATAGTTGCCCTTATATTAATTGCTATTGTTATTTTGATAATTGCATTGTTTTACGTACGTGGAAGAGATAAGAACGAACGTAGCGCAAATAACGAAACATCGGTCAGCATTCTACCATTAAATCTCATAACTTGAAAACTGATTTTAAAAAAACATTGCAAATTACAAAATTAATGGAAAAAATTTCAATTTTTATTTGTTCAAATTTCGTATAGTAACAAATTAATTCGTTCAGAAAACGGCTATTGAAAACGATGATGATGAAGAAGTTGACAAAAAAGTAAAATGCTTATCTTGATCTAATTTTCAATTAGTAATCACAACTGTTAGTGAAACCAAATTGTAAATGGTTTACATGCAGTTTTGATCGTAATATTGAAAACGAAATTAAAATTCACAATTTTAACCACAAAAAAGTATGATTACTGTAAAAATGTAAGAATTATAAGGTAAAAATTTTTTGGTAAATAAAAATTACTATGCTGAAATATAAAGTCTTTGTAATGGAATTTTATTAAGCAACTAAAAATTACAACTATAAGCTTAAGTTTCTAATTGCATCGTACATTTATTTTGCTGGATAAATTTAAAAAAAAAGAGCATTCCTTAATTTTATGCTGTTTTAGAAAGGAAATGCAACAACTTTTCATAATTTATTACATAAATTGAAGGGAGCGAAATTAGATATTAAGAAAAGTAGCAGGTAAAATTTTAATTTTTACATACAAACGATATGGTATTCCTTAATCATCTCGACGTAATTCTTACGCATAACGTGTATAACCTTCCAGCCGTTTAGTCACTCATTCTATGCTTCTGATTTTAGTGACAAAGAAGATTCTACGCCTTCCAAAAAGTCATCAGAAAATGATATTCCTTGTGTCAATCCTAAAATAGTAAAAAATCTCGGAAATATTGACGAAATTGCTGAGGTTTAATTTTATTTAGAATTCATTCTTATTACTAATGTTGGTGATTTTTTTGGATTCTATCATGATTTATATTGTTTCCAAAATTATTAATAATAGCAAGACTATGAATTCCTGTAATTCATTACATAAAAAATTATCAGTTTTAGTTTTAGTATTGTTAAAAAAAATGCATGAAAACAAGAATTGAACAAATACATGTAATTCATTACATGAATCCATGAAGTCTTGCTATAATTAATAATTTTAAAAACAAGGGCAATCATAACATTGCAGTTAAAGTAAATAAAGTTGCTAATGGTATTACAGTAACTGTTACCAATAGAATTGTGTCAGTTCTATGAATGCTATTGGTAATGGCAAATAATAATAATTTTTTCACAGCTACCAAAATAATAAAAGTGAAATAATTTTTGCTAAAATTTAAAAATATGTATAATAATGTACAATAAAAGTGATTTTGAAGGCTTGTAAAGTGGAACGGATTCTAGAAATTCATGATGCCTTAGATGCCAACAATGATGAACTACCTGACATTACGCAAGCAAGTGATTCTGCACCGAGGAGGCCAACCTTCCGAGATGAAAATTGCAAGTTATTCACAACAACACAATCACCTGAAGACGATCAGGAAAACGACAGTACTCCCTTGGCTTAATGACAAAAGTTGCTAATTTTAATTTTAGTATTAATGTTAAACAAAATGCATGAAAAAAAAAGAATTGAACAAAGACAAATGCCAAAGTTTGTTGTGTTGCATCGATAAATATTTTAGTAAATTGCAAAGCAATAAAATATTACTTTATTAAAATGACATTACACTTAATAAAGCTGCGTAAAGTGCAAAAAATCCAACAAATTTGCATATTACAAAAAAGACCTTTTGATTACATTTATCCATTTTTATCACATTTGTACCAATCTTCTATTCAAAACAAATACAGCTTAGAATATATCATTTTTTCCGTCTGATAATGATAAAATATAGAAAGCTCTTTAACTATCGAAGACTTAAGACAATTTATCCTTAAGAGCCATCCATATAAAAGGTATCAGATCTTTCCAAGAGTACCACAGTACCACAGATCAACATCTGATACAAAAATATGTTCAGAAGCTTTCTTTATTTTTTAAGACTTTTTTTATTGTGCTAGCAATGACTGTGTGAAAAATTGTAGTACCAATTATGCTTTATTTTGTATTTACTAAAAACTTTGATTATAACATCTATGGAGCTAAGCTTTTTCATAGAATATTGCAGAAGCTATCCAATCTCTTAAAACTAATAATTCATATTTTAACTTTTACTGCAAATATTATTTGGTAGAGTTGTATGATAATTAAGGTTAATATCAACAGTGCTCTTAAAAAATTTCTGCTGTACAGAATATTCGCTTTTGATTCGATTATACTAATTCACGTACTTGCTTGTAAAAATATCATAAATGAGTACGTGAGTACAACTTATGAAAATATTCGCATATGGATTGGAGAAGTCAAAAATATGGAATCATTATGTAAATAGTTTCATAAACATTTTATTATTTGAGTTAACAAAATAACGTAATGACAGTGGAAAACAAAATTATTAAGTCAATCTTTTTACATTCTTCTAAATTGAACTTTTTAAGTGATTGCTTACAGTAACACTCTTATGACTTTTTAAAGAGTTTGTTTGGATGAATATCAATAAAGATTAGATAATATAATAGACTAAATTACTGAGTTCACTAAAAAATGATGTGATAAAACATCATTTTTATTAGCTGAATGACATTTGACAAGCAAAAATTCTCTGAACTGCTTCAGGTTTTAAGGTAAACAATACGCTTGGTGCATAATTATTTTCTCTTGTGAGTAAGGTCGAATGCCAAGAGGCATTGTCCACTCTTTTTCTGATGTACAGTTAGCCAGCGATGCGATCCCGCTGTATGGCAAACGATTTTCATAAAATTTTTTTCCAGCATATGGCATTCTTAGATCCCATATTTTCCTCTCCCTGCAGAATTTCCTTTTCAGAAATTACTGAGAATGCAAATCTTTATCTTGACACTAAATATGCAAATTAAAACGTATATGCTTAATTTTGAATATGCTGAATTACGTCTTTGCATTAAAATTGAACTATGCTTTTTTGACTACTCACTTAAGAATTACTGAGAAAGTGTGAGGAAGATATACTTTCATAGTAAATATATTATTTTATTTAAAGTAAAAATTTTGAATTTATGATACTTACCCAGTGTGTATATGTGTTCCATCAACAAATAAATTTGCATAGTCACAAATAAATCGGGCTAAGATACAGTTTGAACCACTATAATATAAAATGAGAGGAGAAAAACAAAATTCAAATTTTGGTTCAATCAGAAATGCTTTTGAAGCAGATATAGAACGATTCAGATAATCATATTCTAAAGTAGCGCAATCTGTCGAATTGAATGGTGAACATTGCTCACAAGCTAAAATAAAATTTATTCTAAATTTTTGTGCTGGTGAAATGCAAAAAGTTTTCAAAAAGTTGCTACTAAATTGACTGCCAGCAAATTAAAATTAGCACTGCTAATGTAGTGCTTCAGATGATATGAAATTCATCTACTAATACTCACGTAAGTGACGTGATGAAGTACAATTATATACAATTATTCGCGATAGTAAATAAAGACTAAATATGTCTTAGAACGTAACATTAAACAAATTTTTTCGTAAAATCGAATATAAA